AATCTATTATTGTGTAAAACCATAACGGCGATTCCCTAGAGTGCAACAGATGCGGGGACATTTAGACCTGAATTGGGATTCGTCATTTTGGGAACAATTTCAGAAGTTTGGAAAGAAGCTCATAGCACATTATGATAAGCTCTTTTAATTAGGCCTACAGTACATGCGAATTGAAATTTATTTTGCCGATTTCAGGAAAATTATGTCATGTTATGTCAATCAACACTTAACGGAGGATGCAGAGCAAGGAACATTTTTAAATGTCTAACTTACATGTCACAGAACTACGTCTCTAGTACAAATGGTTAAGCTAATTCACCCAAAAAGAAAACTCTGAGCATTTTTGCTCGACACTATTCCTTATCGAATCGTGTGCGGTTCACTCTCCTCAACAAATTTGCTAAAAAAGCGTAACTACGCACGATTTGTCAACACGGCTATTCATGCTTTTCTGGTGCTAAAAACTGCATTTATTTACACTGTATGTCATTCAATTTGAACCTTTAGCATTTTCACTTTTATATAACTCAGCTTCCCATTGCACTGATGGAAAACGGTATGGAGCGCCATGTTTTGTATATTGCACGGATAGCAGAAACCGCCCGGCATACCAATTTTACTCTCTATAAAAGCAAAATACCTCTCAGAAAGCTTGGTACCCCTGAAACATCGCTTAGAATTCCAATTTATTGCCGTGTTGATGTGCTGGCTACCGCCCTCGGTGTACATTCCCACAAGAATTAAAAACCATGTAATCGTTTGTTTCATTGCACGGAAAGTCAACTTTGGCCTGAACGTAGCTCACAGACCTGTTGTGTGAGAACAAATTCAAATTTAACAATTTAAGCAAGACTTGAACTTTCAAGGACTCTGTTTTGGGCTCGGGCTAATTTAACGTGGTCTCATAGCATCACTAGTGCTATAGGCAATACTTCATGCACGATTAACTTAGGTGATTGTTTCTGGAGGTGTATATAGGCCACTACAGCAGCTGAAACTCTTGCATACATGGTCACCCTTCGCACTATATTAAAACTATCTCAGTTATGTTGCCAGTAGTCACTGAGTTCTTTCCACATATACTTCCAACGCATCCAACCAGCTTTCAAAAATCAGCAACCCACACCGCTATTTCCTCTTTCTCTATTCGTCTGGAACATATCGATTTACGTGAGTTTCCACTCCAGTAATTTTTGTTTTACAAACGTGTTCAAACGTGTTGGGACCTAATGTCACTTTTCCAAATTACAGAGGAGGCATCTGCTCTTGATTGGATTTCCTTCGAGCAGAAGGTTAACACCCCAAGGCTGGACCATTCTTTTGGGGATACTTCCATTAGACATCAGGTGTTGAACGATTATTTAATTTCGGAGAAGTAATTTGTTTCCGGACTTGGCTTGCCTTAAAAGGGCATATTTGTCACGTTCGCCTTGTAAAGTTTAATTGCAGAGAGTAGAAAAGAAATGGTAATTGACAAAATTACGCACGCTTTGCTAGCGATTCGCTAAAAGGGCTGTATTGAGGCACAACTTTCATTGCCGTTCCAAAATTCATATATTATCAAGATAAATATGTGTGATTTATAAACTATCATCAATTCGTCAACAAGGTGAGGGATTTTATCTGACAACTAATTCTAGGCTTTTCATTACGCGATTTCCGGAAAAAGATTGCCTTTGTTGAAATTTGTACAGGTAACACAACTAAAAGGCCTACTGTGGATTTATATGCACACTTCAATACGGCAACTTGAATGTATTACGTGAATTTAAGTAACTTCATATTTTGTTTATTACTGTATAATTTTGGTTCAAAGTCAAAGGAAGACAATCTCTATAATTCTATATTACGTTTCCCGCATGCGAGGTACAAAAGAAATCTGTGTTTAATTTTTATACATGTAATCTATGTATGGTGTTTACATTTAGAATTTCTAATGATGATTTACTTCAAAGATGTTTCAAATATCAGTTTCTCCAATTCAATTCATCTAAAGGGGGCGCCCTAACCTCCTTATTTCGCTACAATAGAGCCTGGAAGTGAAAGGTCACGCAGCGAGCTTCGCGAAACCCTTGCGCGGTCTAGTTCTGCCTATGGGGATTTTACGTTGGGCCGTTCTATCACATTCGATAGTTTTTGGAAAAATAATTCCTTACTGAAACCACCCCATGAAACACTCATATTGGAATTTTAATTTTGTCTTTCCCAAGTAATATTTTGAAAAAGTCATTTGGAAATGGGTAAAAACGAATTCAATAACGACCTTTCACGTTGGACGATGTCGTACCTAGGTCACCTTGTTCATGCACGTTTGTTTTCACTCTCCGTGCTTTCTTGAAAACGAGGTTGTACAACCTTGCAAAGATTTACCTACCTGCAGTTGATGGGTTTCAGATTCCATTGAGTTGATATCACGCAGTCGTCGTCAGCAAAAGTTAGATTAAAGATTAGAAGTAGAATATTGCTTTATGTTTACCTTATAAATTATCAAAATGTTTAAAATATTTTGATTTTTTTTTTTTTTGGTTTTTACCTACAGACTATCATAAAATATCAAATCGTAAATATTCATTTGCGTATGAGACTGCCGTATGGCACTGTTCTTCATGTATTTTAGATTTTCGGAAGAGATGGGTCGATTTTTGCCTAGATCGGGTAGCTTTTCAGTTTCTATAAATTGATATACTAGAAAACATTTTTCAAAGACCTCTTTCCAAGATGGATTTTTTAAGAAGTAACTGAACGAAAAATATTATAAATTCTAAAATCTGTGCACGTTCAAGTATTTTCCTATCCAAGGGTTCCGGAAGCGCCCCATCAGGGGTCAACTTTCAGGCTTTACATGCCAGCACAAGTTATACATACATATCTCCCCGGCTTGTGGTGAAAACTTCCCAATCTCATTTGTTACTGCTTCTGTGGATTCCCGTTTCAAACTGAACTCTTTGGTCTGACCCTCAAGATAATTATGTCGTGCATCTATTTCCCTCCCTATCAACTGCGCTCTGAAATCCACGAATCCACCACAAGGAATCTATTTGGACCTATGAGATATAAATGAAGGCAGCGTGTACGCCCTGCGGTACACAGATGGTGCTGACGTCAAGTCTGTGTGTGTGGAGCATGCTCCTTACTCGTGAATTAAAAAAAAACAGTTGTACACACACTTAGCCGAGTGAAGCTTTTATGTACATGTACAGGTACATAGTTAACCAACGCCGGCCAAATGATGGAATTTATCTCACTGCTTAAAGTATTATTATTATATTTCCAAATAGGTCACATAAGAGACATGGGAGACATTTTGTGGTAAATTTTTCAACCTTAGGGAGACATCGGTCATTAGGGAGACATTCCCATAAGAACGTGCACAAAATTTGTCAAACCTTAATATCCCATAATTCAATATTCCCTAGTCTGATCTAAACCAAACTTTGTATGTTTTCAATTTAGACCCTAATCTATCATCTCTCAAACTTTGGACAGTTAAATTCGGCCTCCTTCTGGTAGTTTGAAAATAGAGGGACACTGAAATGTCTCCCTAACGCCAATGTCTCCCTAATGCTGAAAAATTAACCACAAAATGTCTCCCAAATGACCTATTTGTAAATATATAACAAACTGAACAAAAACTGAGGAAAACAGGACAATAAATAGTGAGCTGGATAAATTGAGAGATAAGAGAGGGAAAAATAGGCAAAAGAGAGACAGGGACTAAATAAAAGCAAATTATAAGCTGGCCTGGATAGACAAAAGTATAATTAAATACTGTGGTCCAAGGACCTGTCTATCTAAAGTTAAAAGAACATATATAAATATATGATAAAACATTTGCATATCGTCAGTGCTCTGGGCCCAACCTAACTCAGCCACCGCGCAACCCCCACACACCCCAACCCAAACCCATCCCACCTTTCTCAAGATGGACCTACATCTAACTCAAGCCAGTCGCTGTCCTACATGAAATAGTGCATTTCAATATAATTGATTTAAAATTAGAATAATATAAAAAATAATCCTGTACAAGCTTGAAGTTGAAGTGTCATTAATCAACTAGCAACCTGAATAAAATTATCATTAGTGACATTAGCAATTTTCAACAGATCAGCAGATAAGTATAAGCTGCCATAGACAGCAACCATAAACACCCAACTTCAATGAAATTGTCGGAGGCCTATTCAAAGGCTTGGTCTGTGACAACCACTCAGTAGTATACCGCCCTCTTGTGAAAGTTGGAATTACCAAAATAGGTATGCGTAAGGATTTTCTCTACGTGTTACTTCTAATGTTTACACTATTATTATTTCATGTTTACTGTAGAATTTGATTTACATATTTTTTCCCTGTAGTTATAAAGACCCCAGTTACTAGTCTTCATTAATTTGTCATTTATTTCGTCAGCTTTGTAATCACAGTTTGTATTTTAAAACAATTTAAAAGTAGTGTGTGAACGGTAAACCGTTGTAATGGTGTCAACCACAGACTCCCTCTAACTTTCATTTGTTTCTCTTGAAACATTCTGAGTCCTTTTTATTTTTTTTCAGTCCTGGAATCCATTGCAGAGCCCCTGCACTGCAGGTCGATTATCTATAATATAATAATAATTGATAAGAAAGCTATCCTACAAGCGCTTCTTTTTGACAATTACAGGTCTTTTGCGTGTACCTCAAGCTCAAAGTTGTATGGAAAGAGCGGTTTTGTGTTGATTTGAACAAATGTGTCACCACACCTGGAGATTACCTTCTTTCTTGTCTCAATTACCACATATCAAGAGGAGTATTGTGCATATGTTAGATCCTGCTTGTCTTGTCCGATAACTTATTCACTGGTTTATCCTCGAAATCGAGTTTCATAACATACACTGCTTATACTTTGAAAGGACGCTTTGCTTGCGAAAAGCTCTGACCCTAACGTTGTAAAGGATTTCATGCTGAGAATCCCAAAGCCGTTTTCAAAGATTTACTTTCGCCAAAACAAATATGTAGAAGAGGAAAGCTCACCTTAATTTCCTCTACAAGATCGAAGTCTTCCGGAACGCCTTCAGCAATTGCTAAGACGATGCCTCTATAACCGTTGTCAACCAGCGAGACAGGGGCTCGGTTCCAACTCCCGACTGGCGGAGGGGGCATACTCATGAGACAGACTCTGCCAAACAGTGTCATAAACACAGCCAGACTGAGAGATGAGCCCACGCAACTGCACTGCCGACAAAGGGTCATGGCGTAAAGGTTCAAGTTTGACGATGTTGCAAAGTTTTCAGTGGTATTTTGATCAAAATGCTGGTATTAAAGGAACATAAATAAAACCGTCGACACTTCCTAACCAACAGTCGCTCAGATTTCCAGTGACTTCTTTCGTTTGAAGAAGCCAACCTTTTACTTAGCAGCAAGAAGAGCACTGGTTCATACACATCCACACGGCAAACTATGTAACTTGTTGGTTCTTTCGCGCATTAGGACATCTTCAGCTCAATTCTGTATAAGTTTCTCTCTCTTTATATTCCAGAGATCGTGGAGATCCGCCCATACAGTTGATGGATTGCCAATGGTATTTCCTGTCGGTCCTCGCGTCAACTTGTATTTCATATCACAAAGCAAGGTGAATTTCCTCCCGTATCTTGTCACCCAATTGTTGGACGAAAAAGCTTAAAATAATCAACAGTTGCACGTAATTATATCCAACACATTTCCCGTCCACACTTACAATATTCTTCGAAAGAACTTCACATAGCCGACAACGTCCGGAATGTGGTTTTATACCGAGCTGAAATGGTACAAGTTGTAGTTCATTGGGCTTGCCGTCCAAGTATGCTTTTCTGAAAGTGAGCGACTTGTGTGGTAAATGGTATTGTTTCGCTGCTTGCAGTGAGTGAAGGCGTTAACATAAATTTAGTCGAGTAAAGACACTAACCTTGAAGGTGCACTCTTCTCCATGTTTTGATGATAAATATAAGCTGGTCCGCCTCGACAGTATTTGCATGGAGCTACAAAAACGTCAGGTCTTCACACCGACCAAACCAGACGACACTAAAGTAATTTTGTAATCTTGAGCGAAATTTTGAAGAAAGCACTGTACTCATCTACAGTGGTGTAACTAGGGCTATTACATCCGGGGGGCACCCGCGGGTGCACCAATTTTTTTTTACACGGGGGGTACCAAAAGACAATGTGGCCAGCAAGGGGGACGTAGGGTATTCGCTGGAAGGGGCACGTGCCCCCCCCCCCGTAGTTACGCCACTGCCCATCTTGTATTATTATTACAAGGACTAAATTTCCTCCAAGTAGTTGAGAGTCCATCGAAAATATCTCAGGAGCTTTTTTACGAAGGCACAAACCTCTTTAAGCGACCTGTGGCCCGTGAACCAATAGGGGTTCAATTACGTGTCAATCAGTCTAGCTCCCAGAACCAGGGGGGTCTTCGTATCGACTACTCCCGCCAACATACATGTACAGTTACGTTTGGTTGCTAGGCGCGCATGACCTCAAACAGGACGTGAGACAAGTTGTTGCCAGGGGCATACTCAGGTTACCTTAGGATGCACAAGTTCTTTCAGATTAGAAGAGATAAAAAAATTTGTACCATGAATTTAGGTTATTTGCAATAGCGAAATCGATGGAAATCTCTATTTCCATAAGTTTTCCTTTTAGTTAAGCTTTTTTTTTTCACTCGAAATTGGTAGCAATTAATTTCACATTCTTCTCAGGAGTACATGAACTCATAGTCATCTTTGGTCGCTCATTTTTACAGTTTGTTTTAATAATTTCGTGCATTTACCATACGTTTTGAAGGACAATTCTATGTTGTCATCTGCAACTGCCGAACGTGCAGTTGATAATTATGAAGCAGTTTCATTATTTTTCCGCTAAAAATATTTTCATTTAAATATGTCACATACGCCTATGATTTCTATGCTATCTTTGTTTTTCACGCTTACAGCTTTTCATTGCTATTTTAAATTCAGTTTTGTGTGTTTAACATAGGTCTACAATTTTTCAAGAAGCATTTGAAGCAAAGTTATCTGTAAGTCTGTTTCCATACTTCCTTACGTTCATGAAATAACAGATTATTACTTTTTAACTTTTATTTACGTTATTTATTCTTAAACTTTTGGCTGCCAAATTCAGAATATGTTTACGTTTTTGTTAAAACTACGCGATCTCCATTATAAACATGCACTTACCGATACTGAGGGCATAACATTTCAAGTTAAAATAAGATGTACACTTTACCACTGACATCTGACGATGACAAAAGAAACAAATTTCAAGTTCAAATCCTCTTGAATGGTTTTATCGTAGGGGCCTTCTTACCGTTCTCTACTTCACGCTGCAAAGTCTTTCTATAATTAGTGAAAAGAATGAACTCTCGCATCTTTCAGGGGTCATGAATTGCGCGTGACCCTCCTGTTTTTTTTCACCATAGATTATGATCTTGTTTCTGGAAAACAACTTACAGTGCAGTGGGACTGCTAATTCTTGAAAGGTGTTGATTTGGTTAAAAACTGTACAGCTCCGTGATGCAGTAGCGTTTCCGTGGTTCGAGGAAACGGGACGAATAATATTTTTCTGAATTTTTCACCACAAAAAAATCGCTGGTGTAAAGGTCTACACTAGAATCCTCTTAAACAAATTGTGTAAAATTCTAAGCGACCACCGTGTAACCAGCTTAGACACACAAATACATATTTTCAAACTGTCAAAAGAGAGTATGATTCAAATTAAGGTCACTGAAACTTTCAAAGAGTACGTTAAATATTACATTTAAACAATTGAAGTTGTTTGAAGGATACCTGCTTAGTTAATTGACTGTTTGAAGTTGGTTAGGGCAATAGGAATCCTTTGTTAAAGGGTAATTGATGGGTGCCCCGACATTTAGCCCTAGTTACGCCACTGAACTTATTAATCAACGCATTACGACCTATAGAGCAGAGTTACTTAGTTACTGAACTGGCATTGCGACGACTTATTAAAGGGCACTTTATTCCGCCTTCCCGCCAGTAATATCTTGGCTGTTAAGTCGAGGTCATTGACGACTTTCAAAGAGTCTATATAAGCTTATGTAGCGGAGGGGCAAACATGAAATCTGAGGAACTATTTATCAGAATATGTGAAAAATTTAGAATGGTAAATATTCCCTTTTTTATGGTACAGTTTAAACTGGGATGTATTTTTTACACTGGAACCAACGAGCCGTTTCAGGTCAGATAAAAGAAAAACAAATACCGAGCCCTAACATGTAACCCTCGGTGCCGCATGTGTATAAATGTTTAGGATGTCGTTCGGCAGCTGGAGTAACTTTCGTGACCCACGGATAAGCACACGCATCGAATTCACTACGCCAGTCAAAGCAAAGCAGTCATTAAGACATTTAACTCAGCACCCGGCATAGTAACACACACACGAAGGGTTTCACTGGGTAATTATTGTACCGGTACCCTCAAACTTAACGAACAATTCTTCTACAAGCTACAAGAACCGCAAGGTGCAAGGAACATATTTCATATAACATAAGACGAAGGAAATATCGCTAAACTTCGAATAAAACAGCGCTCGGTATACATGCAGTTTTCTCACAGACTCAGAAACGTTTTTTCTTGAATAATACGTTGCCTGAAGTATTTTTGGTTTCTCTACTTATTATTAATAAGATGCTGTACCGGTAGTGTAGGGAAAAACGAATGAACAACGTTTACACTTCAAGGATCGGCTGTCGCTTAGGGTTTAATGTTTGACGGGGTTTTCATCTTTTCTAACAAAGAAACTAACATTGTTTTCAAACGTATAGGCCTATTTTATAAAGGGTATATTGTAGGGGACAAATTCCAAAATAATTTGACAATCACAAACTCAGAATCTCACATGAATATACCATAGTGGCGTTTTATTTTTGTTAGATAATTCAATGAAGAAAACTCCGTCAATTTACACATACACTCTAAAAGAAATTCCTCAAAATGTGCGCTTCACAAATTAAACAACGATTCTGACCACAGATTCACACACTAAACTCACTTTGGAATGAAAACAATCAAAAAAATATTAATTTCTATTTAGTTACAAGCTCTTCATTAATAGTATCAACAAGTTCAACTGAACAATAATTGCTGATCCTAGAAGGGCGGATCGAGAACCTAATTTAAGAGAGGGGCTTCGGGAGGAGGGCAAAATTTGGATTTTTATGTAACCTTTTGTGATCTATCGTAGGAGTGGGGCTACGTTTAGGGCATTTTACACGTTTTTAGAAGGACGTGGAATGAAATAGACGACAACAATGCATTTCTGTCATTGAAAAACCCGGCTCCTCTGTGTCCCCATGATCTTCCACCTTGATCCCGCGCCCATTAGAGTCGCTACATATGAAGAGAACCAGCTTTCCCCAGCAGTGTTTTTAGTTTCCATGTATCCAAGGTCGGTGGAGTAATAAATTTTGGCAAGACCAATGCGTGCCAATTTCAAATTTCTGCTTTCATACGTGCGTTCGTGTTTCCATAAAAATAATTGCAGAGCACGACAACCCCACCTTTCCCCAGTAATTTGAGTTTAAGCCTGTGCATAAACTACGCCCGTGGCAACTTATGTTTATTTGCTGTGGCATTCAATATTTCTTCTCTTTTACGTTAAATTTAAATCTCTTGGGTCCCCAGGGTGTGCCATTGGAGGATTATATTTTATTATTATTATTATTATAATGGCATCCATATTATCTTTATATCTTTTTCAGTTGCGATATGATAGTCATTCTGGTCGTTGTTTTCGTTGCTGTTTTTTCCCTGCCTCTCCATTCTCATTAATTTGGCGCTTCTTGCGTTGTTTTATTAGATTAGCTCATGCATGAGCTCAAACTCTATGCCTAGAACGCTGTCTATAATCAAGTCTATTTTTGTTTTCTTATTACTGTGCATCATTGTGCAGCTAGTTCCTTTGTTCTTTTTCTGTGGGTGTGTGCGTTTGTGCAGTTTGTTGGAGTGTCCTACAAAGACATTGCTTGTGATCTGTCTAAAATTAATGAAGATGACATTTTGATAGACAACGGCATTTGCTCATAGGCCTACTTTGACTCTGATTGTTTTAATCAATTGGACAAAACAGCTGCTGACTTTTCGACTTTTTACCTTAACGCCAGGATTCTCTGAAAACATTTCTTTGATGTTCAGAATTACCTTTGATCGCTATAATACTAGTTTCTTCTCTGTTTATGGTTTCACTGAGACTTGGTCCTTTGTCAGTGACAGCCTTAACTTCGTGACTAGAGATGAGGACTTGGAATGTGTGTTTATTCAAATGCAGGGTAACAATGCTTGTAATCCTGTCGCTGGTAATATATAGAGTTCCTGGCGCATCCACTGACAATGTTCTTAATTCACTTGAAATCTGCCTCAATAAGATCACTCTAGAGAAGAAGCTGTGTTATATTATGGGTGACTTCCACCTTAATCTGACCAATTATTTTTCGCACCAGCCTATAGCTATATAGAGGATTTTGTGAATACTTTTTATGCCTACGATCGCCATCTGTTGATTGATAAACCCATTCGCATTACCCCTCACTGTTTCACTCTTATTGATAACATTCTCACTAACAATAACATCGACATTTGTGCCTCAGGTATACTTTATGCTGATATCTCTGACCATCTTCCCCTTTTTCAGATTATCCTTAAGTAGGCCCTACCGGTACCTACACTGTAAGAGACATTTGTAACTATCAGCTCTCAAAGCTGATATTGAGCGTGCCGACTGGAGTGAAATTTACGATTGCAACAATTCGAAGGCCGCATATGACACCTTTCTTCATCATTTTCTCTACTGTATACAATCACCATTTCCCACCTGTAACA